TAAAATGTGTGGGGGGGGGGGGGGGGGAAGTTAGGTTTTGCCATTTCTTCAGCAGGGTTTTTGTTGGGGTTTTGAGTAGTTTTTTTCTGACAAAATACTTTAGGTAAAAAAGTTAGCCAATTCTCCTGACTTCGATTTTTCTCATTAATAACAGTGAACACTTGCTTAATTTCAAAATACTTTTTGGAGGAGCTGATCTTCCCTCACTGGCTATATAAGGAGCTTAGTCTCATGATTTACATAGTTAGATTGAGAACCTGATCTGAGTGCCCTTACGAATCCTTTTTTTTCTTTTTTTTTTTTCCCCTCCTTTTCTTAGATGTTCTCTGCATATACAGTTATATTTCTTGATCCATAGTGTCTGTTAAGATACAGCTTAATTGCAGAAATATGTCTTCTCCATGTGCGGGCATGAGAATTGAAGCAGACCCATTGGCATCAAGCTGAAGCCTGATCAAGTTCCGTTTGTTTCTCAACAGCTTATAATTCGCTCATATAAGTCCACTAGCGAAGGTGACAGCAGCATAATAGCTTTTTACTTTGCATCATTCAAGGACTTGAGCTGACATGGCAGAAGCTGGGATTCATGTTTTACATTTAAAACTTAATCTCTCTAATTCAAGGGGAATTCCTATATACCATTTAATTCAGAGCATTCAGAGTGGCTTTCTGAGGGGTTGCTTCTGATGGTGATTGTTTTTGACTTTGCTGTCTTTTTTTTTTTTTTTTGAGTAAACTCAATAAAGGTCTACATAAACTTTATTAGAGAGCACATCATGAGATCCTCATCAAATGTCCTAGTTGTTCTGAAGTAGTGAGCCAAAATGTTACAATTCTGTTGCATTCTTCAAGAGTGAACCCTCTGTTGAGGAAATATGAAAGAAGTTAGCTACTGTAAGTTAAATAACTTAATCTGTTTATATTTACAGACGAGCCTCTTCAACCCTCTTCATCAAGCAATGAGAGCATGCCCAGTTATTGCAAAAATGATGAAGGAGATATTTTTCTGACAGCTGAGTCCTGGAAGCCCAATGTCTGCACTAGCTGCATTTGCATGGATGGTGTGATTAGATGCTACTCTGAGTCTTGCCCACTGGTATCCTGCGAGAGACCTGTTTTGAGAAAGGGACAATGTTGTCCTTACTGTATTGGTGAGCAGATGAAAATAGTTGATAACTTGCTGTTCCTTTCTTGGGAATAAGAAGGAAGTTTTATTTCTGTATTGAAATATGTTTTCCCTGTTTTGGGGAGATGTAGTTTATGCCTTCAGTTGAACTGGAGAGTGAAATCTGCATAGGGAGCTTTGAGGATCATGATTTGTGGTTTTGAGGTAGAAGTGCAGGAAGATATAAATGTAATTTGCCTACAAACTTGAGAGGACATCCTCCAGAAAACTTGGTAATATACCTTACTAGATGAAAACATTACACAAAAATTGTTTTATTTAAAGGAAGATCTGCCAGGTAACACACAGGTTATGTCAAGATATGTGGTAATATGAGGAAAATATTAATTACAACTGTAGAAGATAAGCTGAAGCATTATGAAATTTCACAGAATGGATAAGTGTTAATAAGGCACCTAAATTAAAATACAGGAAAAAAACAGGAAGTTCATTAAAGATAGTTACAGAAGAGGCAAAGTAATATATTTGAGAAAAAAATTAGGGAGAATTTTGGGTTTTGAATACTAAAAATGCATAAAGAATTGAGGGCCATGCACTGGTTTTGAATTTGGCGTTGAAGTAAATGGTGGATGCTGTAGATAGTGAAAATTGCCAGGCATTTTTGAAGTTGCAGAATTTGAGATTACCGATCATTTTTTCATTGCATTTTGAATATGAGTATTTATTTACAGATTACTTTTTTGTGAGTTCACAGTAAGTACAAAGGCTGTAGAATGGAAGCTGCTGATAAAGAATCGTATAATGAACTTACTGAAATTAAGTCTTTGTAGCATTGTTGGAAGGCATTCAGAGCTTACTGTAACCTTCATTTCCAAAAGTAGTGGGGGAGATAGAGTAGAAAAGAATTCAGTAAAAAGGAATATAAAAAAATTGATGGGCTTTAAGTATTCTTAATTGAACATGGGAATCAACTTGCCCATCTATAAACAATACAGTTCTTAATCAGAAAGATGTCACAAAGGTTGTGAAGTCCTTTCAGATATGTACCATTGATATAGCTCTTGAAATCTTTAATTTGTTGCAGATAAAATATATTTACTAATAGGTGATACAATTTTATAGAATATGCAAGGAATTTATCAAAGAAATGCCTGGAAAAGTTAGAAAGTATCAAAATTTCAGTTTCCCTTGGAATCCTACTTAGATTCCTGATGAGGACATTTTGAGGGGAAAGTACCATTACCCTATTACTACTTTCTCATCATGGTTTGCATACAAAATGGGGAGGATTTAAAGTTTATTTGACAACTGTTTTTTGCAGGCTTTTCTTCCTGTGGTTGAATTTGCAACCAAAAAGATCATTTTAATCCAGAATACATTTTAATGTTAAAAAAATATAGAGTGTATGCAGAGTTGGGCAATCAAACCAGTAGAGTCAGAACATGAGCCTTAGTACTGTACCAGAGAATTCTTTAGGTCGAGGAAGGGATGCACCACAGGGACTGGTGCCATGAACTACAAAAATAAAACCTCTAGAACTTTGTGCCTACACCTTGCATGTCAGGTTTGCAAATATATACACACGCAACATGTAGCTATTGCTTTAATTAATTTACTTTGAATCCCATAAAATTGCACAATATTGCAAATACTTAAATGTGTGAGCTGTAAAAACTTAATGTGGTTTTTTTAGTAGCAACTGCTCACTCAGCAGTACAAAATACAGAGGCCAGATTTTAATTAGTGCTCAGGTATGAAGACTCTCGATGATACATTTTATTAATCTAAGCTGTACTACATTGTCAGTATATTTTGTGGTCTGAATAACTGAAATTCATGGAAACTTTTTTAATGGTTTCTATGAACTATATACTCTTTGCCTGTAAGAGGAGTAAGGTCATGCACTTAATTTTTGTCTTCCTGGTTTTACTGTTTTACTCTTCATTTCTTGAGAACTGTGAAGCATATCTTTGTACAGATTCTTCCTTACTATTTTCATGTAATAGTTGATAAAATGTTTAGTAGGCAAACTCTGTGGAAACAGGTGGTCTTCATTTACTGGAATTTCAAAAGTTATGCAGGGTTTTTAACACTGTATTTTATTCTGTTTCTTTCTGGGTCCAGGTCTGGTTAATGCCTAACAAGTTAGTATAGATTCAAATTCAAAATTTTACAGGCCTTTGATGCTTTGTTGTTTGACTGACTCCTCAAATTCACCCTGTGTGTTCAATGTTCTTCTTTCTCATGCAAAGCAAGATTAATTTGGAAAGATAACCTTCTACTTTAGAGCGGATAAAGGGATATCTATTTAATTAGAGACGAGATTAGTCTTCTGCAGAAAACAGCAATGACTGTTTGTTTGTCTACCAGATGAGACTGATTTACTTGTGCAGCTAGAGGAAGTTTGAGAGAAGACAGGTAGAGCTACACATGGTATTCTGAACTGCATTTTTGTATGTGGGTTTCTCACTGCAAGTCTCTTGTTTCCACTGTCCTTGAGCGCTTGTTGGTGTTGTGGCCTTCGTCTTCATCCTGTGCTTATACTTGCATAGAGATGGACACCAAAACAGGAGACACACACAGGATAGTACTTTCTCAGGACTTAGAAGTTTCTTCTCAAGATTCAAAGGTGCAACACTGCTATTGCAATTTCACCCTTGTTCATTCTTCTAAAAAACATTTACTGTATTAAATTGTAATGTGTTCTTTACAAACTTGCAAAAGCCCAAGCAAGTTCAAGGACTTTTTAGCCAAGCCAGCTGTTGAGTTGAAGAAGCTGCCCTGAGTGGGGCAAGGTAGCACTTTGGGAGCAAATCAGCCCTGAGTGCACAGCTTTAGGTCTGCAAAGAACTGCTCAGGCTGTGTGCCTCACCCTCTTCCCAGACACATCTACTTTCTGATCAGTACAGGGCTCATGGAAGAAGGGCTCATGGTCACCTATGGAAGAACATAATGTGCTTTTTGCAAGCTTGCAGCCACCTTTTCCTCCCACTCTTCCCTTCCCATGTCCACCCCATATTCACTTACAAAATCTGCTACTTGGAGAGGTTGGGACCCATACTTAGAGCCATGGAAGCCATGGGATACCCATACCAAGGCCGCCTGGAACATTTACACTTTTCAGATAATTCCATTAGTATTTTCACAACAGTACTTCTTGCTGGTGTCCTTTTGCATTTGAATTTACTCTGTCCAGACCTGTTGCACTGGTCTGCTGACTGCTAACCTCGTTATGCCGGATGGTGTCAGTCTATTATGTTGTCATTAATTAAAAGCTGTACTGATGGCCAAATTATTTAATAAGGCTTTTTATTTATATTTGGGAGGTAATTCTAACTGACATATTTACATATGTAATCTGTGTGAATGTTAAACCAGTATTTTTCTGACAGCTTAAGAAGTTACTTTGCAATTTCATTCTGTTATCTCATGCATATGCTTAATCTGCAAATTCATGTCATCAGCAGGTTTCATCATCATAATTTCTGCCTCTAAGAAAAAAAGGCAGCGAGAAGCTAAGATGAAAATGAGGTGCTGCTTGGCTTTTGGAGGTTCTGCTGTGTAGTTGTATTTTGATTATAAAGAGCTATAGCAGCAAAAAACATCCTAGGCTAAGCAATTCATGACTGTCTTCTCAGTGAAGTAGAAGGTATACTGCAGACCACCTAAAAGGCTTGCACAGGGTGCAGCATAAAAAAAAAAGCTGTATTGAATGCTTAGGCAGAAAGTATAATGCTTCCTTTAAGTGTTTTCCCAAGTTGCTTCATCAAGTCCAGGTCCCTATTAAGTACTATGTCAAAATCTGTCTGAAAAGTTGTTAGCTTTACAGTCTTTGGGAAAGGTGTTCTGAAACCTCATTTTTTCTGAGGGTCAAGATCACATCAATTTCCAATTTGTATAATACTAACCATGGAAAAAAGGTACTGAATTTGGTTATTGCCCGTTTCCTGGTGTTGTCCATTGATGCAGTTACAGGGAATGATCAGATCCCCTTCAAATCTGTTTTATCATAATAGTCTAAGCACTTCTAGATATGTCACCTGAGAGTTGCTTCATCCTTCTCAGCATCCTGCCTAATCTTTTCTCCAAGTATTTCAGACTGAGTTCATCTTTCTTGAACCTTGGTAATTAGAAATGTAGGTAGTTTGGGGTTTTTTTATAGTTAAATAGAATTTACTAGGAAACGAGGAGTAGTTGGCTGTCTCAGTCAAACAAAAAAATCAATTTTTCTTAATTTTCACAGCACTTCTGCTATCACCATTTCATGTCCCCAATCATCCATCTTCTAGCCTCTTGCATGAGGAAAATGAGGAGAAGCAGCCCAGGCTAAATTATGTAATTCATAAAGAAGCAGAAATGACACTTTTTTAACAAAGATTTTCTGGAAGATGTAGAGAGGGTCTTAATTACAGCTGGGATTTCTTTGTAGTTATTGTTTCGCTTTTGTGTTTGGGGAAGAAATCAGATTTGTGTGTAATTGGCCATTACCACGTGATGACACCACTCTGTTTTCCTTCAACAGAAGATACAGTTCCAAAGAAAGTGGTCTGCCACTTCAGTGGGAAAACATATGCAGATGAGGAACGCTGGGACATTGACAGCTGCACACACTGCTACTGCCTGCAGGGTCAGACTCTCTGCTCCACTGTCAGCTGCCCACCCCTCCCTTGTGCTGAACCCATCAACGTGGAGGGAAGCTGCTGTCCCATGTGTCCAGGTAATATGATATGACAACACAGATTATTATAATGCTGGTTTTCCAGGACTGATAATTATAAGGGTTTTTTTAATTGGGTTTTGAACATCAGTCTACATTTGAACAATATCAAGAACACAACAGGTGTTCAGACTTCAGGAAAATGAATATTCTTAACAGATAGGCATATTGTACAAATATATAGTTTGAATTTTATTTTTTCTGAGAGCTATGAACTCAAAAATTAGTTGCTTGCTCCTGCTGTGTCCTTTCATAAGGTTATGGAAAAATATTAGTGGAGTAGGAAAATGAATATTCTTCCATCTCTGCAGATTCTGTCAGCGATTAACATTTCTGTCTTTTCTGAGTCTCTTCGTTACTTTCAAGTATCACATTGCTTTATTTATCATTTTAACTTTGCTTAAAAATATTATGAAATTTTCGTAGTTATGGACACAAGGAACCTAAGAATTGCAATTGGTTTTTAATGCTATTCCTGACATACTTCTGCAGGAGTTTGCTCATCTTACTTAGTCAGCTGGTAACTAATTCTGACAGGACAGCTGGGGAGATTCAGCAGTACCCCCTCTTGCAATTCTCCTGCTTTGAGGATTACAAAAAAGGAAGGCAAAGAAACCAGGAGTGACAGTTTACATACCAGCTGGGAAGATGTAGCCTGCCCTTGGTATTTTTGTTGTTTAGTATCGCAAAGGAGCAAGACTGTAGTAAAGTGTGTATTCTGAAGTGATATTTTTCAAAAGCAAATCTGTCCACACAACTGTATCATCCCATTCACATTAGGATAATGATAATGGCAGGAGGCATGTATCCCGTATACAGTATGAAACAGGTTTTAAAACAAAATCCCAGACTAGTAATGGTGAAAACTCTGAACAAATGAAAGGATTCATAAGACAAAGCACTGCAGATGGCCAAGTGTATTTCCTGAATTAAGAGCAGCACTGGGAAGTTAAGCAGCCTGTAATTTGTGAAACACATTTATCTCATTTCACAGAGATGTATGTACCTGAACCTACTAACATCCCCATTGAGAAGACAAACCATCGAGGAGACATTGAACTTGAAGTGCCAAACTGGCCAACACCGAGTGAAAATGATATCATCCACATTCACAGAGGTAAGATGTGATATAAACTGGGCTAAATTAGGTCTGTGTTTATTCCCCATGTTTTAATGCATTTATTTGTTCTATTCAGGTAGCATCTGTGTAATGCTTTGAAAAGGTGGTTATCCGAGAATATTCTTCAGTGCAGAACTCTTACATGCCTTTTGCTTTGAGTAAAGATGAGTCAGTCTATTAAATTATATTTATGCAATTTGGTCTCATTATCATTCCATCTTCAGCTTGGAAGAAACATCTGTGTTGGTATGATGGAGTTCTGTAAAATTAAAAATGCGATGATGAATGAGGAGTGATTCTGCAGTGTCTTTTCTGATACAAAAACTAGAAAGCAGGCTGTTGTCAGGCCACTGGAGTTGATAGACCTTCATTGATCCATTTGACATTCTTATATTGATAAACAAAAATAGGAAAAGATGTACCACAACTTAACATATATCATAGACAAAAGTCAGAGTTAAAAGAAATACTTCAGGTATAATGACACAGAGCTAATAAAGTTGTCTAAGGATGTAAATCCATCTTTTGTTTAAAACTGTGCTGAAATCATTATTCCAGGGTAAGGGAAACACTCAATGACACAGTCTTTGTTAACCTTTTCTAATTGAAGGACTACCTAAACTTGTATATATTTTTTTGAAATCTAAGGATGATCTCATAGCATACTATTGTTTGGAGAAAGGATACATGAAATGTAACTGCTTTACAAAATTGTAAGCTTACATTTTTATAATTACAGCATTTTCATTTTTCACAGGCATTAGTAGCTGGCTTGCAACTCTCCTGGCTGGGGATTATAAACACACACTGCAGACTGTGTGGGAATATTATGTATGTCATTGAAAACTACCATTCTTTGCAATTACATGCAAAACTTGCTACAGTTTAGTAGACTGCCAGCAGTCTGTTTTCACAGGCTGAGTGGTTCAAGTATTGTAGTATGTTCTCAGCAAATGAGAGAGCGAATACATCGTAATTGTCTTACCAGTTTTTAAAAGAAAAAAAAAGAACTTTTGTCCTAAGGCTTCCAGGTTTTCCTTAGCATAGAAACATAGGCTGATTTTTTTTTTTTTTTTTCAGTGGGTATCTGGTTGTGATCAGGTAAGACGATGCAAACACAACTGAGCTAAGAGGTTATTGTCAGACTTGCTTGTTACTGTGCTTTAGATTCCATCCTATTCCTTTTCTTTTTGATGGCCTTTTCCCAGCTAATATAGTCACTATAGAAGATACTAGCTTTCAGTTGTTCTAATTTACATAAATAAGGTGATATTTCAGGAGAGGAAGTCTGAATTCACATGAGTGACAAGATCCATGACTGGGATTTTCATAATTACATTCTTCTTTATGGTCGAGGCCCATTTACAATTGCTAACAAATGCTGACATCTGCCTTGCAGACATGAGTCATCTCCAGGGAGAGTACAGAAGTGGCAGTGGACCACACCCAAGCGAAGATGCCTCCGTTAGCTCTGTTGCCTTGGTGACAATTCCAATCACGATAGCGCTGTTATTGATCATCGTCCTTCTGCTCATCAATCAGAAAAAGCAGTGGATTCCAGTGTCCTGCTACAAAGCTCCAACAAAGGTGCCCTGTTTATGTCTTGTTTTCAGGCTTTCACTTTTTTGGAAAACAAGATGAACAAGAATATTGTGTAGGATGCAACTGAGTTCACATGATGTGAACACTCTCAAATTATTTTCTCCTTACGTCTTAAACCATTTATACCAGTCAGTCTGTTGGTATTTATTTAGTCTCCTAAATGATTTTTTTCACTATTGAATGAAAACATTTCCTGCTCCTTATAGTATTGAGCTGTCACTAGACAGAAAAAAAGCTCAGAAAAAAAATGTTAAAAAAAAAAATCCAGCTCTGTATATGTGTAGGTAATACATGCAAATTTCTTATCTGCAGTCAAACTCTTAAGAGAATATTTTTGCTTTCTTAACTTTCATCCACTTTAAAAGTCTTGTCCAACATCAGGTACTGTAGGTACTTGCACTGTTTATCACATTTTCTAGTAACTGCATCATAGGGTTCTAGGACTGATACTTTAAGAGAGATCTCAGGCAGTATCTACCAATTAAGTATTCTGAGACCACCAAAAAAAGGAAGAAGCAGGTAGCTTAGAAATCAACAGTGAAAAGAGCATTGTTTTGTTCTGAATAATAGTTCCATCAGCAGACTAAGCCCTTATTCCATATTCAAATGCCATTTATATCAGTTCCCCCATTTATTCCACTTTATTCCTAATTCTAATGAAACAGACTTTGTCCATCCTTAGAACACAATTGGAGAGCATCTTTTCTTCAGTTCTACCTAGAAAAGTAATACAGTCATTTTAAAAATGAAGTGTCCCAGAATTCTTTCTGTCACTGCTGCAGAGCTTTTTTAAAAGAAAACACATAATTTCCAAAAAGCTTACAAATACAGTCAGACCATAAAGTTGAATTCAATTTTAATTAAATAGGAAGCATGAGGAATCGATATTATCCCGTTTCCAGTCTTTCAAGACAAGCAAGCAATACCAGTTTCTGAATTTCTTAAGGAATGCATTTAAAAATTCATTTTTTACTCTAATGGATTCACTCCTAAACTCTCAGAAAGGCTGCTCTCCATCCAAGTGCTGTGTGACAAAATGGTTGAAGCTGAAGTGAAAATCACAACTTTCTAACTGGAACTAGAATCAATAATTCTACCTACTTTTTTTACTCACGGAACATTATTTTCCTCAAACACTTCTATTGCTGAAACATCGTTTATTTCAGTGTCACCAGAAGACATCATCCACATGCTAAGAAAGCTCAGTAAGCCATATACATATTCAATGCAAGACCATGGATATACTGAAACTCAGATTTCTTCTGAGAGTCTTTGTCATAAATGTATCTTTCTTTTAAGGTTTCTTCAATCAAGTGTTACTCATTAGTTTCTCCTATTCCTTGCAAGATGACTGATGGTTCCTAGTAATAAATTTTGGCAAGCCTGTTTTGGCTTATGTTCTTTCTGTTCAGAATAGTCCAGCTATTTATTAAAGAACAAATCAACAACTGTGCTTAAATCATATGAATACCAAAAGAAAGATGATAGGAAAGACATTTAAAATTACAGATGGACTGCTAATATTTAGCCATGATTCTGTTAAGATCAGTGAACCTCAGGACTTCTTTGTGAATCCAGTCCACAGACTTTTGAAGAGCCAAATGTAAAACATTACTGTTTGTAATAAGTATTTGGGTAAAATGCTTTTTGTGACAAAGGTTACTGAAGGTAAATTTTTAGTAATAAAAGCCCTTCTGATCTTCTGATTTAAGCCTTGGAAAAAGAAGGTACGTCAGTGGAAACTGGAATTTTTAATATTTGCGGTCCATTTGTATGCTTACAGTGCGAGCATACACACGCATTGTCACTAACTTACCACATATCCATAGAGTATGCTTACTGCCTGTCCTCCTTCATGCTTAGCCCATAAACATTTAAAGTAGTGTGCACCCAGCATTGTTTCATCTTCCTCTCAGCTGCAGAATCTTTCTGTTGAAGGATTCTCAAACAGAGGAATAGCAGGACTGGAAAGCCAGTATGCATAGCTCAACTCTTTCCTTGAGCAGTATTTTATATGCATTCATGCTTGTAGATCATGATGTACTCAAAACCTCACTTATTCACATTTGCCTAAAATTAAATCCTCTATTCTACACTTGCAAGCAAGGACGGACAGCTCTACCACATGCCACATCAAACACTGGCATCTCCGTAATAACACTCTGCTTCACAAGGGTGTAAGGCCTAGCAAATACTGGATAAAAGGTGGGTCATTTCCTAATTAAGGAAGTAATACATAAACCACCTTGGAAAGGAATATACAAGGATCTGATAGGATACCCCATGCCAGAATTAACTATAACAGCTGAGATCTCTCCCATTCTCTTAGTGGAATTGCAACCACGAACAGAACATTCTTGAAAATGATCAGTAATAAAGAGGCTGTTAAAGTCTTAGAAACAAGCTGCTGCACATCCAGGGCAACAAGGTTAAGCCCCTGTGTAGTGCTAGACTAACAGAGAACAGTTTAAACCAGTCCATCTGGGATATAAAAATACCAGACCTCCATTCAGAAGATGAAAAATGGTGATTCAGAAGAGAGTGCTGGTCTGTTGCTGTGCCTGGCATAAGCGTTTACCAAGTTCAGCAAAAGTCCAGACTCTTTCATTGCTGATTTGATTTTGGTTTGTGCTTACGGACTTGAACCACAAAGACTTTTTAAATTATGTGTGAAATACAAAAATTTTTTAATTTACTCAATATTCCCTTTTTGTTTTAACAGCCTTCTTGCCTAAACAATCAACTGGTATATGTGGACTGCAAGAAAGGTACCATGGTCCAGGTGGACAGTTCTCAGAGGATGCTAAGAATTGCAGACCCAGATTCAAGATACAGTGGATTTTACAGCATGCAGAAACAGAACAACCTACAGGCAGATAATTTCTATCAAACAGTTTGAAGAATTGCACCCTTACCAAGGATTTAAGAAAGAGAGAGGGAGAGAGAGACTAAGTCTGTTATTAAAATAAAACTAGAATTGTGCACTTGCTTAGTGGATTGTATTGGATTTGTGACTACATGTACAGCTCTAAGACCTTACTGGGATGAGCTCTGACTCCTGCAATGTGCCAGAAAAAGCATTCCCACTTTTCCTTGAGATAACTGACCAAGTGTTTTCTTAGAACCAAAGTTTTAAAACTTGTTAAGATATATTTGCTTGTAACATAGCTATAGAGGTTTTTTGGGAGGGGGAATCAGGGGCTAGGAGTAGGCAATGAGGTAAAAGGAAGCTTCAGAGAAGAAAAGCTGGTCATGCTTGGCTGGAGAAAAAAATGAATAAAGAATACTGCCAGGCAGCAGGATAGTGGTTTTTCTTGTTGCTCTGAAATTGCATCTGTTGCAGCAAAGCCTAACCCCAGGTGAAAAAAATATGAAAAGGTCTGATTTTTGTTTTTTTCCAGCTGTTGCTACAGTAATATACTCCTAGAACAGAATTTGTCACATCACAGGTGTGGTGTAGCTGCAAATATTTTTCTATATGATGAGAAGCTGCAGTAGTTAATGAAATAGCAAGGAAAAGGTTATAGCAGAAAATAAAGGGTGGGTTTATTAAGGATGTATAAAATTATACCTTGTGCTGCTTTTTGTTTTTATTTTTGTTTCTTCGAAGCTGATTGGCTAGATTAGCCGGACTTCGGCAGAGTTAGCAAATGACTGAGGCCTAAGTAATTCCTGATATGAGCACTGGATCTTTTGACAGCAGTATTGAAGGAAGGAAGGAAAAGTCAAGAACACCATGCAGTTCCAGGGGCTTTTGTTTGTTTGTTTTGTCTGTTGTGGTTTTGTTTTGTTATTTTATATCAATCTCTGGTTGTTCATACAGGAGAAGGAAAAATATTTTTGTTGGACAAAGCTCTTGCTTACGAGAGAGTAAAAAAGAGACTGTTTTAAGGTTGTTTTTTTCCTGTTGATGTTCTTATTTACTGGTATGCAGATTTAGAAACTACTTCCATGCTAGGAAGCTGCTTAATTTTAATTGTATATTACTCAAGCACCTTTTTTGAAGCTCAGAAAAAAAAGGAGATCATGCTTCTTTAAACTTTAGCATTATAGGAATATTTATGTAAATATAATTATGCTAAAAACAACAAAAAGTATTTGTATGTTTGTGTATATATATGTATATACAAATGCATGTAGGTATACATATGTATATATACGTGCATGTGTATATACACTATACATATATATACTGTATATATAAAATACTATGTATACAGTATATATTTTTTCTATTTTTTTTCTTGTTGAATGTATTTTTATCTGAGAGAGATTTTACCCAGAGCAGAAACAGATAAACAGGCATTCCATATCAATGCTTAATCGCTTGTGAGTTTAGGAAAGACAAGAAAAGAGCATCTCATTCTACCTACAGTTTGATTTGATTTGAAAGTGTTTGTGTGCGTGCGTGTGTGTGTGTGTGTGCACTCTTGTGTTTGCGTGTGTACAGTACGTGCACGATTATAGCAGTAAGCGTTGCTCTTGCTACTTGCTACATTTCAGGGTGTTTCTTATTTTTCTTTTCCTGCTTAGCCTTAAAAAGGCTTTTTAATGAATGCATTGGCTAGAGACACTGATGACAATATACATGCAGCACTAATCAGCTCCATAGAATAACACCATCAGCTCCTGGATTTTTTTTCTTTTTTTTTTTTTTCAAACAATTGTTTGAAACAACTACTGGAATATTGTCCACATTAAGCTGGAAGTGTGTTGTAGCTTGCCTCATTTATAACTCTGACTGTATAATACAATGTTAACTTTCCAAACAGGTCTTGGCACTTTTATACTAATTACCCATTTGTGCATTGCCTTTTTTCTTTTACAAATGCTTGTCATAAGAGACACAGATACCCAGTATGCTTAATGTGAAAAGAAAATGTATTTTTTGTAAAGGAACTCTCAAGTATTGTTATAAATACTTGGTCAGAGGTTGCTGAACTTTAAAACTGAAAAAAAAACCTAATTTATTATTATAATGACCTAATTTATTAATCTGAAGATTAACAATTTTTTTGTTTTAGAATATCAAAAAGGTGTTCTAGCTGTTTGCATCAAAGAAAAAAAATAGGTGTATCGTTAAGGGTCAACATTTTTTCTGCTTATATAACTTCCGTTTCCAACCACCAGTAAGAAAAAATGTGGTCTCCCCAGTGTTTTGTACTCAATCTGATATTGAAACAGAGATGTTTCTGTCCAGTTACCTTAAAGATTTTGTCAAGACAAAACATCCATTCCTTGCATAAGAGTAAGCAGTCTTTATCCAGAAATTGTAAATGCTTGCTTTTGTTTTACAATCAAGGCCATATTCTGAAAATATTAGCAGGATATAGGACATGGTGTAAAATGGTTTTTATTATTATTATTTTATTATTATTATTTTAAAGATATGATTTATCCTATGTGCTGTATCCATTACACTCTTTTACTTTGGTTCCTGTTGTGCTCTTGTAAGAGAAATGCAGATATAATTTTCTGAAAAATAGATGCATATGTGGCACTCGGAGTGCACTGCGGTTCAGCAGAATTGCTTGTTTACTTTTTTAACTGTAAGGCGGTTTCTTGTAATTTGGCTCTTGGCAGCACAATAAAAAAATTTTAAACCTACTGATGCACGTTTTCTTAAATGTTCACATTTATTACTTCCGTACACCGGTCCTTGAGATGTTAGTTTATATCTTGATATTATGGTGAGGTTTTTTCCCCGAGAGTAGGAATTCGTATTACTGTCCTGCTGACCTTAGATCAGAACAGTTCAGGAACATACTGTGGGTAAAGAACAGTTTTCAGCTACAGAAAGTTCTGGTTTTTACACTGGGGAATTTTCACATTAGAGGGATTTGTGGAATTCCAAATACTTTCAGCATTCAGTAAAGATCAGCCTTTCACTCTCTCAAATGCAAAGTTAGGCCTTTGCCCTGCCATTGAGTCCATGTGGTCTAGTCATACCTGTCAGAAAGCCATAACCAATCATATGGGACTCTAACATGAAGTCCTATAGAAAGTGTGTGGAATCACAATTTGCACTTCATGGACTTCCTGAACCACAGACCATTTATTTACCTATTAGCCTATAATGCTTTTTTTCTTCTATTAATTTGTAAGTTAATGGACTTGATGTAAAGTTCTGGTATGTAACTTCCTGAAGCAAGGAGTTTTTCAGCTTAAGTACTTGCTCTGTGAAAAACTGCCTCCTTTTCTTTCCTTGAACCTACCACTTGGTGGTTTCATTTGATATCCCCGACTTTCTGCATTCAAAACAGCAGTGGATTGGTATCTATATGCCACGCATTAATTTAGAGACCTGGATCTTCTCCCCATTTTTTCTGTGCTGAAAAGCCCAAGATGATTCTTTGGGAGCTGTTCCATACCTTCTGGCCAACCCTGCTGTTCTTTGTACTTCCCATTCTATTACATCCTTTTAAGATCAAGGGTAAAGGGACTGAAAATGTCTGCATTGTTCAAACATGGTACACCCTGGATCTATCATCGTATTTACTGTTTGGATTGCTGCTGACCACCGAGTCAGTGCTCTTACAGAGCTAGCTGAAATAATCCAAAAATGCCCAAGTAGTAATAGTTACTGCAAAGTCCATAATTGACTAGGACAGATCAGTATTCTTGTGCATGCCTTTACATTTATATATGCTGAATTTCCAGTAATCTCCTCTCCCTTGCTCATTACCTGTCCCAGCATTTTTGCTCCTTCGCAAGACTATGGCTATGGAAGACTATGTCTTCGAGAAGAGCATCTTCAAATTCTGCCTGCAAACATTTTGCTTTTCCATCAGAATGGAACAGACTCGTGTATAAAACAATGGTGCATCCACATTTGAACACTCACAGTAGTCCTGACCTCCTCTGTCCTACTCCCAGTGTCAGAAAGGATCATATTGGAATACCTACGTATGCTAGGGTTTGTCAGCTTAAGAAAGTTATAACTGAGTAGGATAGGACAAAAGTCTTCAAATTACCTCAGTGGCATGCAGATGCTTAACAGAGAATTAATTTTCCACTGACTGTGTCTCTTTCCAAACATCAAGTAGGAATTTTGAAGAGAAACTTAAAGGAGGCTCAAAAGAAATTTCAGAAGTTAGGCTGAGAAAAATCTTGCTACATGCTTTGGGCCATCAAAAGTTTACAGCGGCTCAAAGACGTACTAGACAAAAAAAGGCCATCATAAGCTATTGCACATAGGGACACGATACAAAGCTAGCAGGAGAGGGCATGGGAGTGACGGTGCTAATAACCACCACGTTCTCTCCAAAACTTAGTTTTATATGGGTTAGGTGGCCGAATGGAGGCTAAAAAGACAGCCAAAAAGCCACCCATCCGTAGTTTACCAGGTTGCAGTGGAACTACCGCAACTACTCCAGCGTCCCCTTTCCCCTCCCCGGGGAACTGCCCAACTGCCCCTACTCGCCGCCTCAAAAGCACCTGCCTCCGGCCTGCGGTGCCACTCTCCGTGCGCAGA